TATGTACAGCGTTGCTAAATCTTGCTAAGCATTCAAAAAAAAGAATGTTTGTACCTGTTATCTATATTTTAAAATCGTTTTTTGAGTATGTTCCACTATTCACAATTCTACAAAATTTTAACAGTCTATAGTCAAGACTGTTTGGATAATAAAAAGCAAAAAAAAAAAAAAAAAAATTTCACTCCCAAGTGCCCATGAACCTGCATCTCTACCTTAAATTCATAACTCAGTTCACTCTAAACCCACCAAATCCCACCCACTGACATCCTCATACCAACACAGATCCACAATGGAGTTCACATTCAACCCACCAAATCCTAACCACTAAATCGGGTGACCCGGCACTTCAGAACCTGAGCATTCAGTCAAAGCACTAAGGTTATATCCTCAAACCAAATAAGCTACCTTCTTTCCCAACAAATGGCTTTATCTGTTTATATTTTGCATAATTATTCTATCTTTAGTTAAATTGTTACCTTTTGCAGTCATATATAACACATATTTAACATTTAGATAATGGGTAGTAAAAAATAGTTTTGACAACAAATTTAAACTGAATCCTATCTACTTTCATTAAAAAAGTAAATAGAGCTATTTTTTTATTTAGTAAGACAGACAGTTGGTCAGTAAATCAGTCACTCACTCATTCAAATCTAGACTACAACATAGTGACTGTAATATATGTAGGAAGTGTAGGGCACTATTGATCAATCTGGTCACATGTAGTGCTTGCAACAAATTAAATTAATTCCACTTTCTATAACCTCATGGAATACATCTCTACTTTTAGCAAAAATATAATCATCATAAAATAATTAATAACTAGTATTATTGGAAACTTCCAAATAAAATAATAAACATAATTATTGAAGGTTGATGGTGGTCAACTTCAATAGAACAGCAGCTTTGATTGTACAAACAAATTGCAACAAAATAAATAAAAACAAAATTGTTATTTATACATGCAATGTCTTGTTATGGAATGATTCATATAACCTCAATTAATCACCACAATACATTTATATTCAGGAATCCCAGCTCTATATCGTGCTAGTGGTAGGAATAATGGGAACTAATTTCCTTCAGCTTCAAATTACTAGTATTCAAAATGATACAATTGTTTGATATTATAATTATAATTACTGGACTGCAGAAAGTGGCAACATCAATGCAAGGCAGAGTGAGAAAATATCCAACATGACAAATACATCATGTGTGGGTATTAACAATCATTTCTCAGCCTAAAATTTACTTTATTTAGTTTTCCCATTCCATTTAATTTTGATGAGTATAATATACTTCTACATGTATGACATAATTTACTGAAAATAAAGAAACATTCTTATAATATTTAATTTTCAGTTTGACAAGTAATACAATATACAATACTACTTGTAAGTTATTACCTTCTTGCTTGAACACATATATTTTCCTCATAATTAAAACTTCCTGTTTGATTTTTTTTTTAACCATGATGTTGTTTGCTGTCCATGTCTGACACCATTATTCTGTGCAGTAACACCCGGGGAAGAAGGTACAGAACCAAGTCAGTTTCAAAAACTTCAAATATATTATGAGATTTGGAAAGTTCTTCAAAGCTCAAAATTGAAAAACTTCCACAAACTATTTTCCTATGTCTATTTGAGCTTTGACAGATATTTCCAGCATGGCTGCTGATAGTTTTGCATGTATAATGGTGGTACACATGACTATATTTATTCTGAGTGCCGTGGTTTTATTACTGACACCTTTTCTTTTGTTCATACTGCAAAACAATCTCATTACATTGCATTGCATGATGTCATAACTGAAGTTTATACATTCCTCAAAACATACATCTTATTTTCAGAACATAAGGTCACATCAGGTCAGATTGTACAGGTGTAATGATTGGATATGAACCCTCACCTAAATTTGTAATAAAAACAAATGACATCTGACCCCAATGATCGCATTTGCTGGACTGTTGGGGGAGAAATATTCGCTGGATTTCATTTTAGCAGATTTGATGCGGCTCGAATATTCATTTCAATTTCACTGGTTTAAAAGGGAAACCATACATTCTATTGTTAACTTTGAATGTTTCAATTTAACACTAGTTCAGTGCTAGTTTAAATAAGTGATAATAAAACCCAGCCAATAATTGAGCTGAATACAATGTATGTGGGGCGGACTCTGAACATCATATAACTTTTTTATGTTACTATATACTGTGTGTTATAATTGTGTTAAAGGGCGGTGGTCGTCGCGTTGCGTGTGTTTGAATTTCATGTAAACAAAGAATTTATTTCAAGTTACATATTGAACACAACATAGCGTGATGACCACCGCCCTGTGTGACCTGTCAAAGGCGATCAAGAGTGACACCTTTATGATATTATTAATTTATGATGACTCTTTACACCTTATGTAGTCTATGTTGAATAAATGACTAATTTATATACAAACCCTCTTATTTTACTCTAATCTCACAAACTGGTAAGGGTCTGTGTAACTTGTGAGTTTCTGTAGACACATTATTAACCTGAAAGGGTCTATTTTATTAACCTGCAAAAGTTTGTTTACACATTATTACCCTACAAGGGTCTACTAACCTGCCAATGTCTTATTGCACAGTGTTAAACAATCAAGGGTGTGTTTGCACATCATTAACCTGAAAGGGTCTATTTTATTAACCTGCAAATGTTTGTTTGCACATTATTAACCTGAAAGGTTCTGTTTGATCTTTAATAACCCACAATTGTCAGTTTGCATGTTATTAACTGGCCAGGGTCTGTTTTGGTAGTATTACATTGCAAATATCTATTTGCACATTATTAACCTGCAACAGTTCATTTTCAGATATTAACAGATCTGTTTTGGTAATATCAACCTGTAAAGGTGTTTTTGCACATTATTACCTTGTAGTGACTTGTCTGCACACAATTACCCTTAATAAATCACTATTAACCTGCCAATGCTATTTTTGCACATTATTAAACTGTCACATTATTAATCTGCAAGTGTCTGTCTGTGCAATACCAATCTGTGAGAACCAGTTAATTGCACAATACTATTTTCTTCAGGGAAAATTGTTTTTTCGTTTGTTTCCTGTGACTAAACTTAGACACTGGTGTTGGCTGTACTACCATGATTTTGTTACTAACACACCATACCATTCGTATCTAGGACTCAAAGCTACATTTGATGAGAAGACTCTCTTCCCTAAGTACATTCTGGAGTTTGAAGCCAAGATGAAACAAACACACAAAGAAGAATTACATGGTAAAACAAAATCTAAACGAGTGGGTCTTAAAAGTTGGAGTACGATAGCGAATGCCACCAGTGCCATTGCAGCTATGAGAAGGGCTAGCGTTATTGACAAACCAAAAGTACCACTAGCAGCAATTAACGAATTGGGTAAAAAAGCACCAAATAAGGTCAAATGAGAGTTGGCACAGTGCCAATAAAAGTTGTACAGGTTGTTTGATAGAAGCATACACTTTTGTTTTTACTTCTTGATAAATACAACTAGTGAAGCTAGCAGAACAACATAAGTAGAGTAGATTAGATATTACTCTGATATTGCTGATAAAACAGATTATATCATTGTTTCTAGCATCTGATACAATGAAAGGTTAAATATCCAACATTAATTATATTCAGACTCCAGGGCCATATGTTGTTGTTCTAACTTGTGTGATTCACAATCATTATGTAAATATAAATAACATTTTTAATAAAATTCTGTGAATTACAGATTTAAAAAAAGAATCATGTTTGGATTTTAGAAGTTATACAGATAACTCAATGTGATTGGTGGCCTTATTCAAATTTATGAATATGCAAATAATTTGAAATGCCAATGACAGTTTTCTCAAATTTGAGTATGCAAATAATTTGAAATGTTTTTGAAGTATTTTTGTATATTTTGGTAAAATACAGAAAATTGTGTAACATAATGCAAATATCAAGTGATTGGAGGATATATGAAAATGGTTCCAACCAATGCTTGCCAAATAAATATATAGTATATACTATAGTTAGTATTTTAATTAAAAAGAATGTGACAGTTTGTGAGTTGTGTGACCCTTTACATTAATTAGATTAATAGCATTATTCAGGTCATTTTCATAGATAATACGAGTTAATTGGTGCTAGTGTACATGGTTTGTTCATCACAGTAGGGAAGCTCTATACATTGAAGTATTCGATTACTGACCATTGCAATAGTATGCATGTTTCTAGAATTTAATGTTTGTGTTGCTTGCTGTGATTAACATGTGTTGCCATGGTGATGAAACAGTTCATAGAAACTTATTTATAAGATATTATTATAAGATATTGATTAATAGATGTTTTGTAATTGCTTGGATGGGATTGCAACATGTCCTGATTCTATCATGTTGAGTGGTGCTTTATCAGAATCTGATGTAAAGTTAGTGCCCAGGTTCCACACAACAGTATCAAAACTGGTTTCATTTCAATGTGGTGAACGTAAAGATGATTGGTTAGACAGTGTCATGTGACCATTCATCTGTCTGTCCATCATCTATCTGATTGACTGTTGTAATCTTGTCCTCCTAATACTCACCATGGCAAAATCTTTGATTTTTACACCAGCTGTTTTTTTGTCAATGTGGATGTTTTCTCACATACTAAACAATGATATGTTGCATGAGTTCACAGATGACATAAGATGACATGTGTCCTGACAGATGACATAAGTGACATGTGACCTTAGTTAACAGATGACATAAGATGGCATGTGATCTTAGTTAACAGATGCCATAAGATGGCATGTGACCTGACAGATGACATATGAGACATGTGACCTTAGTTAACAGATGACATAAGATGGCATGTGATCTTAGTTAACAGATGCCATAAGATGGCATGTGACCTGACAGATGACATATGTGACATGTAACCTTAGTTCACAGATGACATAAGATGACATGTGTCCTGACAGATGACATAAGTGACATGTGACCTTAGTTAACAGATGACATAAGATGGCATGTGATCTTAGTTAACAGATGCCATAAGATGGCATGTGACCTGACAGATGACATATGTGACATGTAACCTTAGTCAACAGATGACATAAGATAGCATGTGTCCTGACAGATAACATAAGTGGCATGTGATCTTAGTTAACAGATGCCATAAGATGGCATGTGACCTGACAGATGACATAAGTGGCATGTGACCTTAGTTAACAGATGACATAAAATGGCATGTTTCCTGACAGATGACATAAGTGGCATGTGATCTTAGTTCACAGATGACATAAGATGGCATGTGTCCTGACAGATGACATAAGTGGCATGTGTCCTGACAGATGACATAAGTGGCATGTGACCTTAGTTAACAGATGACATAAAATGGCATGTTTCCTGACAGATGAATAAGTGGCATGTGTCCTGACAGATGACATAAGTGGCATGTGATCTCAGTTCACAGATGCCATAAGATGGCATATGTGTCCTGACAGATGACATAAGTGGCATGTGTCCTGACAGATGACATAAGTGGCATGTGACATGTTACCTGAGTTAATAGATTACATGACATGAGTTAAAAGATACAATGTAACATGAGTTGACTGAAGAACCTTAAATGACAACACAGGTTGAAAGATGAAATGAGTTGACACATTTAACAATTGTTTAACAATTGTTTTTGATGAAAATGTAGTCCAGTGCCAGTATTCATATTGCCAGCCATTAATATTGTATATGCACATGTCACATTAATATCCAACCTTAACGTATACTGGGATAATTCCTAATATTTTATAATGCATGTTTCACTTTAATAAATCACCTGTGTAAGTTTTTATAATGCATGTGTCACTTTAAATCACCTGTGTAAGTTTTTATAATGCATGTGTCACTTTAAATCACCTGTGTAGGTTTTAATAATGCACATGTCACTTTAAATCACCTGTGTACCTAACGTTTTATAATGCATGTGTCACTTTAAATCATTTGTGTACCTAATGTTTTATAATGCACATGTCACATCTTGTAATGTGATGATCAGTAATCGAATCCCATGTCATCCCAGGTTTTCCCTACTGTGAGGTTTCTCTTAACTGCAACAGTAAATGGGTGCATCCTGCCATCATATTTCATATTCCAGTTAAATTAAATTTTCAAAGCGTGAAAGTTGTTTCTGTACTCTGTCATATTTATATGGAAAGATAAAAGTTATCTTTCAGAAACTAAACTAGGTCATGTGACTGGTCAAAGGTCATCACGGAGATGTTCAGCCACAGAATACTTTTTTATTGACTCTGAAATATAATTTTTATTGATTCATAACTTTTGTTTTACAGTTTTAGTAATAAAGTACTGTCAATTTTATGCAAATCTTGAAAAGTATTATATTTGTTACTAACTACCCTATGTGGACCCATGCTATGTACAGTTTTTGTGTTGGGTCCCATGTCTTTTAGACAATAAAGTGATATACACTGAAACAGTATATTAATTCACTATTGGTAAGTGAGAGATTGAAGCAAGAAACTTTTTGGCAATTTGATGAAATTAAATATCTTTGCCAATGTCAGTGTGGAATTTTTTCATCTCTTTATAATATCAAATTTCACCATTTTATCGGTAGATTTTCTCATTTCATTGATTGGCATTCTAACCAATTGTTTGACAAATAAACACCAAAAAAGCTGAGAATTTTGGATGTTATCTGTGAGAATATCAAGTGTTGCCGAACTGTGAGAAATTTTCTCGCTTTACTAATTGCGAGTTTTATTTTAATATTCTCTAGAGTGGTCTTGATGTGTTGTTAGATATGGGTATTTTTTATTTGTGTGTGAAGTACATTGTTCTCACAAAATTAAAACATACACTGTACAAAGGCCATCAAAATTTTATTTACTCAGTATTTGATAGACAATTTGCAGGTGTTTGTGTCACATGGAAATGTTTATCTTAATTATCTGCCATTTTATTTGTGTTAGGCCAGATTTTTTTTATTTCTTGTTTCTCAAGTTTTTATAAGGCAATTTTTTTGAGGAGGGCGAAAAAAAAAAAAAATTAATTTTTTTTTTCCATTAGATTTGTATGATTCTCAAAGAATTGTAGGTGAGATCATTGATCGAAGAGAAGAAATGAAATAAAATTTTATTCCATGTATAACCTTGTTTCTCATCTGCGCGAGACTTCGGTACTTTGATCATGATACTCCCACGAAAATGCAACTTGGGTTTGTTATGTGGCGGGCGGAAAAAAAGTGAAGATAAAAATAAGTTTTTTGTAGCAATTTTTTCCTCTTACAAGTCGGCGGGCGTGAGAAATTACCGGTACGCTGAAATATTTTTTTTTTTTATTTCATTTTCGGCTCTTGTTCATTCAGCGGGTTCGCGAAACAAGGGATAATAAAAGTCTGGCCTTAATACTAAAACTAAAATACTCCTTCAAGTATTCAATCGATATAACACAGTGTTACAAAGCAGGTAAATATTTGACTTATAGTACTATGAACTCCTGGAAATGTCAACTTTTGGACAACAATAACTGTTAACGATACACATCATGCGTAAACTTGAACAAGTCTGCAGAATTACTGACAACATGTCACACACACTTAGAACTCGCAAATTGTCTATTAAATAATGTTTTCATCTGTAAATTCTCTGTTCATGAAATGTTAATTTAGAAAGTGTACACAAAACCCTTTAGTGGAATTTACTCATACATACTGATATTGATTATTGTACCTTTGGTGAATGTGTTTGATGATATAGCAGCAACTCTGGATTACAACACTGATATTGATTATTGTACCTTTGATGAATGTGTTTGATGATATAGCAGCAACTCTGGATTACAACACTTCAAATACAGTCCAAAATGGGGACTTGTGTTCTCTCAGTGCATCTTTACATTGTCCATTGCTATTTTGCGAACATGTGTGAACTGATTTGATTTAAATATGGTACAAAGACAGTTTTATTTCATTTCCTTGACTCAAAAACATTTCCCCAGAATGCCTCGGCTGATTTCATTTTAACTTGGCACACATGGGTTACTAATGCATATTTATTCCATCAATGTGATTAAAAATGTGACCGTCTGGTGGCCATTTCAACATGTCATTAACAGTTTCGCAGACATGCCTTTGCCAATTTCAATATCGACATAATCCAATGGTAGGCTACAGAAGTTTGTTCATTTGTTTTGTGATTTGTTTTGAAAAAAACAAATATTATTACATGCCTGCCAATTTCTCAGACATAATAAATGTATTAAATATGCATATGATCATGATTGTAATCTGTTATAGTATAAATGAGATTGCTATTAAAAGTAAATATTTTTGTCATTATTTCACAGTTTCAGAGTTTTACTATTTCTGAGATACATGCATGTAGTGACCTGACAGACACACAGACACACAGTATGAGTTATGTGCATGTCCCATC